CAATCCCCCCCCCCCACACACACACACACCGCAGGTCTATCTGGACGAGGCCTCCAAGCCCGAGGTGGGTCGCGGCCTGAACAAGGCGGCCGAGGTGACGATGCTGCGCATACACCGCCTGGACAAGGACAGCGGCAAGCCCACCACCGACCCAGAGGCCATAGACAGGTGGGTGGGGTGGCGGCGGCGGCGGCGGCGGCGGTGGTGGTGGTGGGGAGACATTGGTGGGGGGCAGTGCAGGGCAGGGCAGGAGATGGCGGCTTGTGGTGAGCGGCGCTGGCTGGGCGCCGCTTGGGACAGGTCTGGGCCGGCGCCCCCGCGGCTCCGCCGCCTCCAGCCTTTGCCAGCACGCCCTCACACACCCGCACGCCTGCCGCCCCCCTCCCCGCAGGTTTGCTCGCAAGCTGAAGAAGCTGACAGCGGAGCAGGGGGCTCGCTTTGTCAGCTACGACGCCGCCAGCGGCACCTGGAAGTTTGAGGTGGAGCACTTCAGCAAGTATGGGCTGCTGGGCAGCGATGGGGAGGACAGCGACGAGGATCTGGGTGCCCTAGGCGTGCGCGGGCGGTCGGGCGCGGGCGCCGGCCAGGGCCGGCCGCAGCAGCAGCAGCAGCAGCAGCAGCAGCAGCAGCGCTTGGGGCAGGACGGCGATGAGGAAGGGGCGGCGTATGCCGAGGGCGCGGCGGATGCTGAGGAGATGATGGCTGCGGCGGAGGAGGCGGCGGCCTTGCTGGAGGAGGAGGCGGGGGAGGAGGAGGCGATGCAAGACAGTAAGCTGGCTGCTGCGTGCGGGCCGGCGGCAGCTTGAGCGCCTCCCTCGCCTGCTGCCATTTCATTGCCACCCTGCTTGACTGCTTGACGCCGCCAGCCGCCAACCTGCACTGCCTTCACACGTGTTGATGCACTGCCCCTGGCTGCTCTGTAACCGCAATGCCCGCGCACACACACTTGAGCCAGGCCAGGCAGCTTGCTGCGGCGGCGCCTCACCCGCCCCCGCGGTGTGCCTGCTGCGTGCCGCAGGCGGCGGCTTTCCGGCTCGCGGGGGCCTGGCGGAGGATGGGGAGGAGATGGAGGATGCCGAGGGGCAGGAGGTGTCGCTGGGGGGGCCGCCTCGTGGCGGCGCGCCGGATGGCGGCGCAGGGAGGGCGCTGCAGGTATCGCTGCCCGCGCAGCTGGGCATGGAGCCAGAGGATCTGCAGCGGATCAGGTGGGCGGGCATGGGGCGAGGCTCTCCAGGGGGGTGGGGGCATCCTGCAAGGCGCAGCGGGCGCAGGCACGCATGCCTGCTCCCTCGTGTGGGCTGCAGGGTCGAGGAAGCACGGCCTGCCCGACCGCCGGTGCTTCCCGCCGCTCCGCTGGCCCGCAGGGACGGCCTGTTTGCCGGCAGCCAGACGCACCGGCAGCCCCCGACCAAGCAGCGCCGCATCATCGTGATTCCCAGCGGCGCCCAGGAGGCAGATGTGGCTGCGGCGCCTGCGGCACCACCACCCGCGCCTGCCGCCGCCTGGCCCGCGCTGGCAGCCCGCAACGCGTGGCGCAAGCAGCAGGCGCCGCCGCTGCGGCCGCCGGCGGGCGCCAGGGCTGGCGGGGCCGCGGGGCCGCGCACGCCGCCGCCTGCAGGCGCTCCTGTGCTGCCGGCGGGGCCCACCCCCGTCTCCAGCAGCGCAGCCGCCAAGCAGTGCCCCGTGCCGGCACCCAAGCCCACGCAGGCGGAGCAGGGGCGCGAGCGCTGCCTCCCCGACGCGGGGCTGTTTGCAGGCGCCGCCTTCCGCGCCGGCTGGGCCGCCAACGCAGTCCTGGCGCATGCCGGCGGGCGCGCCGCCTCGGCAGGCCATGTGGTGGTGCGCCAGGTGTCGGTGGGCGCCAGGGTGGCGCCACCTGGCGAGCCAGCTGGCGGCGGCTCGGCCTTCCAGCAGCGCCAGCGCCGAGCCCTGGAGGCAGCGCTCACCCTGCACATCCAGCACAGCAGCCCCGCCCCCGAGCCTGCTGCGGCCGGCGACGAAGCCGTGGCAGCAGAGGGCGACGGGCGGGTGGCGGCAGCGGGCGGCGTGCCGCACTGGCGGCTGCGCTGCGAGCGGCAAGACGAGCTGCGCCAGCTCACGCTGAGCTACATCGAGCTGTGCACCTCAGCGGCGGCAGAGGTGAGAGCGGCAGGCGACGGGGCTGCCGCTCGCGGGGCGACCGTGGAGCCTCTGCTCGCCTGCTCGCTCTGCCTGCTGCGGCGGTTGGGTGGCCATGCGGGCAACCCGCGCACCTGCCGGCCGCCGCCCCCACCTGCCATTGCCACACCTTCCTTCTGCCGCCGCCCGCGGGTGCAGGCTCAGGGCACGGAGCGCACTGTGCTGCGCCACCAGGCCTCCACCTGGGAGCTGCTGCACGTGCTCTTCTCGGCCATAGACGGGGAGCAGGCGGGCGGCGGCGGGGAGGCGGCCGCGGAGGCAGACGGGGAGCAGGCGGGCGGCGGCGAGGAGGGGGCCATGGAGGCAGAGGAGGAGCTGCGGCTGGACCGGCTGGCCGCCTTCAAGCGCCGCGCTCAGCTCAGGTGCGGGCTGGAGGCGAGGGGCGAGTCGTGGCCCTGGAGGTCTGGCTGTGTAGCCTGGCTGGCAGCATCGCTTTCCTCCCCGCTAGCACCAGGTGGATCTCTGAACCGCGCCGCGCCATGTGCCCCCGCCCTGCCTGCAGCCACTGGCTGCGTGACAGGGCCTGGCCGCATGTGGAGGCCGCCCTGCGCGGCAGCGCCGCCGTCGGCAGCACCACCTCCTCTGACGCCGTCGCGGCGCAGCTGCTGGCGCTGCTGAGCGGGCACCAGCTGGCGGCGGCGGCGGCGCTGGCCGCCGCCACCGGCAACGTGCGCCTGGCCACGCTGCTGGTGCAGGCGGGGGTGAAGGCTGTGGGGCAGGCCGAGGTGGGGGAGCAGCTGCGCGTGTGGCGGGAGTCGGGGTGTGATCGCCACATCGGCGCGCCGGTGATGCGCCTCTACCAGCTGCTGGCGGGGCGGGTGGATGACGTGGCGCCAGCCATGCAGCTGGACTGGCGCAGAGCGCTGGGCCTGCACCTCTGGTACGGCTGCCAGCCCACGGCCACAGGTAGGACCAAACTTCCTTTCCTGTGTGTGCTGTGCCATGCATCGCTGCCTCCACTTTGATCCTCGCCGCGAGCCTCTGCTCTCGTACGCCACGCATTGCGGCACAGCCGCGGAGCTGACCCAGCCGCACACGCCCTCCCGCCCGCAGTGTCTGACGCCCTGGCCTCGTACACGGCAGCCGTGGAGGCGGGCGCCGCTCCGCCGCCGCTGCCGCTGTACGCCGAGCAGGCGGCGGCGGCGGGGGGCGGCCACGGCGGCGCCTCCTTTGACGTCTCGTTTGAGCTGCTGCGCCTGCATGCCGTGGCTGCTGATCCCGAGTCCCGGGGCAGCGCCGCCGCGCTGCAGCCGCTGCTGGCGCGCCTGCTCAGGTGCCGCGGCTGCGCGCCCGCCTGCCTGCCTGCCCCCCCTGGCTGGCCGCCTGCACGCTGCTCGCCGCCACTCGCGCCCCAAATCACACACACACACTGTCGCCCTCTCCCGCCCGCCCCTCCTCTGTGTGCAGGCCCTCCAGCCTCACCCCTGACCCGCTGGATTACTCGTTCTGCTGGCACCTGCTGGCGGTGATGGAGGCGGTGGGGGCGGTGCCGCGGGACGCTGCCGACCTGCCGCCAGGCACGCGGGCAGCGCCGCGCTGCCAGCCGCTGCCGCGCTCCACGCCAGCTGGCCGCAGCGCCCGCCACGTGCTGCTTTCGCTTCCTGCTGCCGGCGCCCTCCTGGCGCGCCCGCTGCCCTGTCACCAGCTCACACCACCCTCCACCCTCCACGGCCCCCCTCTCTCTCCTCCTCCCTGCAGCCGCCGCCGCACGTATGAGCTTCATCTCGCAGCTGGAGTGTGCCGGCCAGCTGTCGCACTGGGCGGTGTATGCGGCGCTGCACATACCAGACCCACACCAGCGTGGCAGGGTGCGCAAGCGTGGCGCGCCCGCCGGGCCTCGCGTCGCCTCCCTGCCTGCCCCGCAGCGCGGCGCAGCGTGCTGGGGTTGCACTGTCCTGCCAGACATCCCTCCCGCTTGCTTCTTTCCCGAGACACGCTCCCACCCTCACCACGCGCGCGGGCATGCACCCCTGGCCTGCAGGTGGTGCGTGAGCTGCTCATGGCGCATGCCGATGAGTGGTGGGACGACGAGCGGGTGCTGTCCTTCTTCAGGGACCGCCTGCGCCTGCCAGAGTGAGCGTTTGAGGGATGGGGCGTGTAGGAGGGCGAGGCATGGCACGTGCATGTGTGCCGCGTACCGCCTGATGCAGTTCCGCGGCGGCGGCACAGCCCTGCGTGCGAGCTCAGGCTGGGCGCCCGCCTGCTGCAGGGCGTGGCTGGCGGAGGCGCAGGCGCTGTGGGCGCAGTACTGCGCTGACGATGCAGGTACATGTGTGGGTGGTGCTGATTGTTGGTGGGGGGGGAGCCCCGCCTGTCTCAGTGCTTGCTTCACCTGTGCCCGGCTGCGTGCATGGCACCTCCAGCCATGCAGCCCCATCCTCGTGCTGCCGCCACGCTGCTTGGCGCCGCCCCGCCCTGCCCTGCAGTGCGGCTGGACCAGCTGCTTGCTGCCGGCGACTGGGCGGCGGCGCACGCCCTGCTGTGCGATGTGGTGGCGCCGCGCTGGCTGCTGGCGGGCGACGACGGGCGCCTGGCGGCCGTGCTGGCTGCGCTGGAGCCGCACGCTGGGGAGGTCAACCTGGCTGGCGGGGCGGGGGCTTGGGAGGCGGGCGGTGGCGCCTACTCAGCGTTCCTGTACCTCAGGGACCTGTACTGCTCCCTGGGCCGTACCAGCCGTACCAGCGGCGCCCCCGGCGGCCAGCAGGCAGCTGCGGCCCCGCCGCCGCTCAGCTTCCAGGAGCGCATGGACGCCGCCGCGCGGCTGGCGGCCATGCTGGCGGACGCGGCGGCACGGTGGGGCCTGGCCGGCGCAGACGCGGGCGGCGAGCGGCGGCTGGACGCGCGGCCGGGCGGCGGCGCGGCGCAACAGGCCGCCTACGCTCGCATGTCGGGTGCGCCGGCCGGGCCCTGCCCCTTTGCTGTCCGCCTGGGCGCACCCAACGGCAGCCGCCTGCCTGCTGTGCTTGCTTGCCTGTGTTGCTGGGCATGGCGGCAGCGCTGACGGCCGCATGCTGCGCCTCCCGGTCCTGCTGCTGCAGCCGAGCTGAGCAAGTGGGTGCTGAGTGACGGCGAGGGCGGCGCCCTGCTGCCCCTGCCGGAGCAGGACAGGGTGAGGGCCTCACACGCGGCTTGCTTCAAGCCCTTCTTGTGGATCTGCCAGCAGCCAGCTGGTGGTGGCGGCCCCTGCCGGCCTCATTGCTGCCCATCCCATCATGCCGTTGTGTTCCCCTGCCTGCTGCAGCTGGCCGTGGGTATGCGCACCATGCCGCACGAGACGGCAGCCGAGGCGCTACAGATGGCCGCCATCCATCTGGCGCAGCGCGTGGCGTGAGGCGGCAGCAGGATTCCCAGCAGAAGTTGTGTTTTGACCAGCGCTGGTGCACGCCCCGTGATGCCTGATGAGTTCTCTGCGTGACTGAGTTGTCGTATGTGACAGATCCGGCTGCGCCGAGCTGGGGATCAAACTAAAGGAGCGGCGTGCTGCGCCTGGCGGCACGCCAGCTGGCTGCCGCTGCCAGGCATCATATTCAGGCCGGAGCGAGCTATCGATGCAATCTTCCTCAGTGAATCGTTCGAAGTTCGCGCTCTTTGCTCGGGGTTGTTTCTGCTGCTGGCGACAGCTTCGACAGCACATCCGCCAACCAAAGCCAGTCTACACCTGCTCAGACACCTCCGTGAGGTGATTGGTTACCAGCGAGCCGCTGCGCTGCCGCTGCGCTGCCTGCAGGGCGTGGTGCGGCGGCCGCCCCTGTCGCCGCCACACCCCCTCTCCGCCTTCCTCTTGGCCACGTGTGTGCACTGCCCTTCAGCAGGCAGTGAGCCATGGGTCACGGGCCCCTGCTGGACCTGCTGGCATCCTCCACCCGCAAGAAGAAGGACAAACTGGATAAGCAGGAGGAGCACCGGAAGCAGGAGGAGCAGCGGGAGAAGGACCGGCGGGAGCGGCTGGCTGAGAAGGAGAGGAAGTTCAAGCAGCGGGAGGAGGCCGCCAGGCAGCAGCACCACCACCATGAGCAGCCGCCCCCATGACGCACCCGCTTGCATGGTGCATCCCATGTCTCATCGGCTCCTTGCGACGCCCTGTACATCATGTCCCTCGTCTGCTGCGTGCGGGATTTTTGACAGCCCGTCGGCTTTTTGTCGCAGCCGACGGGCCACTGCGCCCCACCCTTCTTCTGTACGTTTGTGGTCAACATGACCTGGCCAAATTTGAACGAATCTGTGAAAATGCAAATGCATGAACAAGCAGGGCAACCAACGGTTTGAACAGAAGTCGAGAACACGGGGGAACGACGGCCGCCACGCGCCATCACTGCAGGCCAAAGCCCTGCGCATTCTCCACCGCCGTCAGCAGCTTGGCGCGCAGCCTGTCCTTGCTGGCATACTCGGGCAGCAGCAGGCTGTTGAAGCACGTGTGGCTGGTGGGCAGGTTGTCTGCGGCCAGGCGGGCGACGCAGCAGGGTCATCAGGGCTGCTTGAGGTGGCCGGGCAGGGTGCAGCAGCTGCAAGCCACCACAACTTGGCAGGCAGGCACATGCAGAGGAGCCAACCTGAGTCGGGCCCAGCTCTCTGGATCAGCAGCGGCAGCTTGCCCAGCCCTCCTACGGGCGCCCTGCAGCACGCATCAGGGGCCGAGGAAGCAGAGCAGGCCTCAGCCACACAACCAAAACCACCCCCTCCCCCAACGTAATCCTGACACGCACCTGTCGCTGCCGGTTGTGAACATGAGGAAGGCCCGCTTCTGCTCCAGAGACAGGCTGTGCAGGACCTCCCAGAACCAGCGCACCTCCTGGTGCTCCCTGCGGCAGGGCGAGCACGGGCACAGCTCGACACCCAGTCCCTGTGCATGCCACGCTGTGCCGGCTGCCCTGCCCCTGGAAGCAGCGCCCTCGCCACCCACCACCCCCACCCACTCACGCGGAGTAGCCTCCCTCATACTTGGCCACCGCCTGAAGCGCCTCAAAGTCGAGGTGGGGCAGGCCGCAGACGAGCAGCTCCAGCTCGGCGGGGGTGAACAGGGTGAGGGCGGGCCCGCCGCAGACGCGCAGGAAGCCGGCCCGGAAGGCGCCAAACTGCCTGCCCACAGACCCCTCCAGCAGCCAGGCGGTGTACAGGTCAACATACTCGCGCCGGTTGGCGGCGGTGACGGGGATGGACGCACCCCCTGGCTTCAGCTCCTCCTCCCGCATCTCCCCGTAGAACTCGTATTGAGCGGTGAAGCTGCGGCGCAGGGTGCATCATTGGGGAGGCGTGGGGCTCCTGGGGATGGCGGCTGGCGGGTCGGCGGCGGCCCGCACAGCTCCCAAAACGCCCCCACCACACCCACTGCCACCTCCTCCGCCCGCCGCCCACGCACACACCTGCGGCAGAACACCGCCTCCACGTCTCCCTCAAAGTCCAGCAGCTGCTGCAGGCCCCTGCGCAGGGCAATTTGGGGACACGGCGAACCGGGAGTGGCATGCCGTGCGCCAGGGTTCCAAGGCAGTCACCTCGAGAGGCTCCCTTGAGCCATGCGGGCCTTGCGGTCGCACGCCCGCCGGGCCCGCCCCACCTGCCCAGGTCTGGGAAGGCGGCCTTGAGGTCTGCAAAGGTGGGCCTGATGCCCAGCAGCTTCTTGTACACCGCCAGCGGGAAGTGGACGTCCAGAATGACGGCGTTGTAGATGGCCAGCCCCAGCACTGCCCCCACCAGCGCATACTCGTCCTCGGCCTCCAGAGAGGCGGGGCTGAACCAGTGGGTGCGTGTCAGCTCGCTGCGGGGCGCGGCGGGGGGGGGGGGCGGGGGGGGTACGGACGGGCCCGACCTGCTGAGAGGTG